CCTCTGACTAGAATGCCTATCTATCAGGTATTTCCATGAATATCTCACCTCCTACAAGTCTTCCTTCAAATATTACCTTACATATAAAGGCTTACACTCACCTTCTTATTTAAATGTGTATTCCTTACCCCACTCTGCTTCCCCTTATCCTATTCTATTTTTCTCATACTTCTTTATCTTCCAACACCCCATACAATTTACTTATGTAATTTGTGTATGGTTTATTAAATGACCATATACAAAAATGAAAACTGCACAAAGGCAGGAACTTTAGGTCTGTAGTGTTATTGACATAACTCAGTGCCTAGAACTATTTCTAATTTTAAAATGTTGATTTTAATGCATGCATGACTATACAGGAGTTTCTGCTATAATATTTTTACTTTAATGGAGAAGCATAAATCCTTTCCTATGATATTGGCCATGGCCATATTACTTGGATTGGCCAATGGAATGTTAATGGCTACAAAACATGTAAAGTGTAGACATGTGCTGCACAGTTGGTTTCTCTTTCTTGAACTTCTACTATCACCTTGCACAATTCTTGGTAGTTTCCTGTTTAGGAGGATGAGAAGCACTGCAGTAGAACTAGACCTAAGTTGAAACTTGAGTTAAACCCAATTGAGCCCAGTGTAGATTAGCAGAACCCCAGATATATAAATGCTTGCTGTTTATTTTTTCCTTGAGTTGCTACAAGAATTGTGGCAATAGCTAACTGATACAATGAATTCTTACATATCCTCCATTCAGCAAAACAAGACACTAAAACAAACAATAGCAACAACAACAAAAAAAGTGAATAATAAAGTTTTATCTATTTTTGTAACAAAGCACTAACAGTAATTGTACCAACTTCCCCTTAAAGGTAGGCAGTGCAATTGGACAGAAGGTCTGTAAGAAAAGTCAGGCTTCTGAGTTATGGAGAAAGAACAAATTGAACAAAGACTACATTAACCACTTCCAAGCCTCCACTTTATCCAAATAAAGATGAGTGGGGTGAGTGGGTATTGCGTATAGTTCTGTGTTCCTCCGTGACTTGCTGTGTTCATGAGTTAGTATATTTTATGTTCAGCTTTTCTCAAAAGAAGACACACACGATTTGCTTGCTGGTAAAACTTGATGAACCAAACCAACTCCTGTGCTTTACTGACAACATTTCCTTTTGTCAGTATCATAGGAGGTCAATCACGTTACAGAAATACACGTACAGGAGAACAGACTACATCTGTATACTGGGATTGTTCTCATTATTAGTTGCCATAGTGTTGGCTCTGACTCACAGTGACCTTATGTATAACTGAATGAAATGTTGCCTGGTCTAGCACTATCTTCATGATTGTTGTTATGTTTGAGTCCATTGTTGCGACTATTGTGTCAATTCATCTCATTGACAGTACCCCCCATTTTCATTGGTCCTCTACCAAACATGATGTCCTTTTCTAGTGATTAGTCTTTCCCGATGATATGTCCAAAGTAAGCAAGTCAAAGTCTTGTCATCGTCATTTCTAATGAACATTCTAAGGAACTGATTTGTTCATTCTAGCAATCCATAGTATATTCAATATTCATTGCCAATGTCATCACCAGTATCACAGTTCAAAAAATATCGATTCTTATCTTCCTTTATCATTATCCAAATTTCACATGCATGTGAGGCAATTGAACAGACTGGGTCAATCTGCTGAGTCAGAGGCAGCTTAGTCATAAAAATATCTTTGCTTTTTAAAATTTTAAAGAGGTCTTTTGCAGAAGATTTGCCCAATGCAATATATCATTTGATTTCCTGACAGCTGCTTCCTTAGGCATCGATTGTTGATCCAAGTAGAATGAAATAATCGACAACTCGACAGCTGTGAATTCTTCAAAGAAATTAGATAAATAGCACAATAGCTTTGGTAGATTACCTTAATAGGATTAGAACCTTTGACCTTTCTGTTAATGATTTTTGTTTCCTTTCTTTTGGAAAACCAAAATGAGGTTAACAAATTGTGATTGTTTTATATTTTCCCTAAATCATATTAAGATCCTTGGTGCCCTGTTTTGATACAGAAAAATCAAACAAGGACAAAGGTTAGGAAGAATATTTGCCAATCCTAGTATGAAATCTCTGGTACAAAAAATTGCTCTTGCTTGGTGGATATTGAAATGCTAGCATTGAGTGCTTCTCCAATTAGGTATTTGAATCCTCCTTACTCAATATACTCCCAGCTCATCATTTATACCCACAATGAAAGAGATCAGAAAAACCCACCTCCTTTTATATAGGTGCCTGGTTAGGCTTATAAACCTGTTTGCTGTCAAGATATAGAGAATCTTAAACTGATCTTTACTTATAAAAGAAAAATCTCATCAGCAGATGGTTGAAAAATCACATGACAACATAAAAAATTGTGTGGCATTCCCTTGGACTGAGAATAAAGAGGACAGTTGAAATCTTTTCACTGATTTTCTCTCCACACCTAAACCTCAGCCTCATTGCTTACTCTATCTGATCAAACTAAGCCTCCTGAAGAGAAAGAACACATCCACGAATTAGGTAAGGTCCAAAAATAACTTCTTTATATCATTGGTTATCATTCTAGGTATATTTGTCTCATCTCATTATCTTCATTTTAAGAATAATTATAAAACCAAATCCACTGCCACAGAGTTGATTTTACAATTCATAGGAACCCCTATTGGGTTTCTAAAGGCTGTAAATCTTTACAGAAGTAGATTGCCTCATCTTTCTCCCACGGAGTAGCTGGTGGGTTTGAACCACCTATCTTCTGGTTAGCAGCCAAATGTATAGATATTGAGGGCGAGGGCATTTCTTGTATGTGGGTATCCTGCAGGTCACTTACTATGGGGTTTTGTCCCATAGTATCATAATAATGCAGGCAAATAATCTTGGTTGAAAATGTTAGTGAAAAGGGCATGATGGCCACTAAGTTACATGGTCAACCTTTATGCTTAAACAAGTTTGTGGGACCAAAAAGAGTTCACCCAATGTGGGAAAACTTGATTCCTATCTTTCAGTACCATGACTCAGTAGCTAACCAACACGGTTTCTTCCCCAACCCCCCTCTATCCCAACTCTGCAACCGTACATCTGGCTCCTGAGACTCTTACATTCAACTGATTAGAGGAATAAGACATTTCATAATCTGAAGGTAAATCAGAAATTATTATCTAAGTCTGAAATTAGCTTGTTTTATAGAACTACTCGAGAAACCTATTCTAAATAGAATGAAAAAAGGATAAAAACTAAAATTGGAAATGTCTGTGGTTAACCACATAATTTAGGTCTTCTAGTAAATAAACTATTTCCTGAGAGAAATGTTATGATGGAAGCAGTATGAACTTTTAGTCATTAATGTACCCTTTGGTACTTAAGTGATTTGCAAAAGCACAGTGGCATGGGTATTCCCTGGTTTTTCCAAAATCTCATAGTATTCCCAATGAGCAAGTGAGACACTTGGAGGGCTTGGCTCACCATGTATGTCTAATCCCAAATATAATTTATAAGGCATCATTGCCTATACAATAGCATAAATATTTTCACATAATTATATGACATAACTGAGGAAAAGAAATTTTCAAAATGCTTCCAGGACCCCAACCTTTTTCCATTTAATTTATGGTGCACATCAGTGGTCCACAAACTTTACACCTGCAATGCAAATCTGGTGCATCAATTGTTTTTGTCAAGTTTTATTAGAATGCAGCCATGCTCATTCATTTATGCATGGTCTATGTCTGCTTTCATGCAAAGAGTTAAATAGCTGTGACAGAAACCCTATGGCCCACAAAGCTAAAGTTATTTGCTACCTGGCCTTTTCCAGAAAGTTAGTCAAGCATTGATATATACTATTACATGTATTAATAGGAAATTGATCCATGACAAAAGATAGCATACTTCTTTTTAGAATCAAATACATTGGAAAAATAACTTTAGCCTTCAAATTCAGTATTTGTGTCCCAGATTTCCTTTCAGGAATTAATTCCCATTCAAGAAAATTAGACACACAGTTTCAAAAAGTGTTCTTTTATTATTTCTAATTAACATATATTGTATAAATACTCTATTTTATATGTCCTTTTACAAAAGAGGTATAACTTAAAGATTTATCATTATAAAGAAAGTATAAAAATAAATATGTTCATATAAGCATTTATTACAAACTATAGTCCTTCATAGAAGGAACACAAGATCAATACTTATAAAGTACATATAACTTATAGTAACATATTTTACTATATACATACGGAAAAAGACATATTCTCTATCATAGTTGAAGAGCTGGACAGACATTCACCAGGATATGACTGTTGGAACAGCTGCTGGGGATGGACCTGCTACCCCTCAGTAGCCTCCACATCATGAGACAAGTGATCTCAATGTCCCCAAACACATGGGACCTGTTCCACACAACCCATTTTGTTCTGGCATTACATTCTTGTGTGATCTGACTAACTTTCTGGAGACACATGATTTCTTCACATGCACATACCTAAAGTAGCCTATGAAAGGAGGAAGGAAAAGTAGGAGGTACCGAGTGCACTGTGGCTCTTCTAGTTTTTACCAGCACCTGATACATCACTGCTTCCTTTTTACCTCTGTATACTTAAGGCATTCTTACAAATTACATGTAATTATTTCTTCATCAAAATTAATTACACAAATAAAGAGGAAGATGATACAAAAAGGTGAAGATGAAGCCATTTGAGCCATTTCAGTTTGCTGAGCATCTCTCAGGCTGGACAATCTGAACTCTTAACTCATGGTAGGAAATATGGTATAAATATTTTCTGAAACCACAACAGCCATAAACATGGCTGGTCGAATGTCCTGTTTGTACTCCTTTTTCTCCCCATTGTTAGTGAGGTAAAGTAAGCCATGATTTAAACTCAAAATCCCATCTTTCTCCTGCTTTTCATTTCCCAACCCCATGATACAAAGGATTTAATTAGTACCAGGAAACAGGCTGTAATCTTCTTTAAACTTATTTTTGCAATAATTTTTAAAACTTGTAATAGATATAACAAAATAAATAATAATGCCCTGGGGCTTTATCATCTTCTAATAACCGTCATTAACTATCCCATCAAAATTGTAAGTGGCAGGCTATTCATATGATCTAACTTCTTTTCTTTCTACTTCCAATCTCATTGACACTCCTCACTGATGACCTGCAAGGTACATTGAGTCCTCTAGCCTTCTCGATCTCAGTGCATCAGCCCTTCCACACTTTGCTTTTCCCTCATCAATGACACTGTTTAACTGCATTCTGCCATTGTGCAAAAGTCTATGTAATGTTTAGGTTTCTTTAAAGAATCGCAGCTCTCATTGGCCAACACCCCCCCATCATGGGACACACACTTCAAGGTTCTCTTTTTGTAACCCTTCCCACAAGTCTTAGAACATGGGGACCACTCCCCCAGCTGCCAGTGGGGACAGGGTACATCTGCACAGGGCCTGGTGTTGGCTGGCTTCACTTCCTTGGCACACTCTGAAGCCAGCTGCCCATTAATGTCTCTGCATTCCACCAGTCTTCGCTGCCACCCTGATCCACATGACTTGGAACATTCGCCCCACTCTTCAATGACCCATTCTGAGAAGGTAGGGATAGCATTGAAAGATTCCTTCTTCTTCTTCACAAAGTAAGTGTATTTAATTTTAGGTCGAAGGGCATTGCCCACAGTAAGGACCTGGATGGTTAAGGGTTCCTTGAGTGGGCTAAAGCTGAGAATTCTTTCCAACACTGCAGAGGAGCCACTGTACCTCAAGACACTACCTTTGTATGTAATGTCTTGCTCTAAAGTGGACAAAGTAAAGTCACCATTAAGGATATATGTGCCATCAGCAGCTTTGATGGCAAGAAAGCTTCCATTATTTCTGGATCCTCTCTGAGTCCGCTGTTTCACTTCAATGTTTGTGGCTCCAGTCGGAATTGTGACAATGTCATGATATCCAGGTCTGCAAAGAATGAAATACAGATCAAATAAGCTCTCATTCATTAGATAATGATTCATAAAGACAATAGTTTACAATGTGTTTTTTACCAGACCTAAAATGTTGGAACTAAATTGTAAGGTCTTTGAAAGTAAATAATTTTTAAACTTACTTTGCACTAGTAACTGATCCTGATATTTTCTTACAAGTAGATCCATTTCCTCCACAAATACCACATTTATCAAATTTCTTCTTGGAGTCTATGATACGATCGCAACCAGCTTTTACACATTGTCCTTGCACACAGACAGAAGTGGAATCTGGGCTACATGGAGTACCATCTACAACCTGGAAAAAAAAACATGTGTCTGGTGTTACACATTAACAAGGGAAAGAGATGATGCAATAACAACTAAGAAACTTTTCTGCATTAGTTGTCTTCATTAGTTTCTTGACTATCCTAATTAAAATAGCAGTCCCTAAACATAGAGGTTCAAACCCACCAGCCACTCCTTGGAAGGAAGGTTGGGCAACCTACTTCCATAGTGATACTGCCTTAGAAACTCAAGGAGGGATCGCTATAAGTCGGGTCCGACTCAGTGGCACATAACGACAACAAACACAGCATACTCTTCTGACTTATGACTATAGTTCTTATCCTAAAGAGCTCTGGTGGCATAGTGGATAAGGCATTTGGCTATTTCCAAAGTTGGCGGTTCAAACCTACTTGCTGCTCTGTGGGAGGAAGATGAGGTAATCTACTTCCATAAAGATTTACAGCCAGCTTTGAAAACCCAATGCGGATCGCTATGAGTCAGAATCTACTTGATGGCAATGAGTTTGGTTTTTTTCTTTAATCATCCACCATCACCAGTTGTCATTGGGTTGCTTCTGACTCACAACAACGCTATGTGTGTCAAAAGAGAACTGGGCTCAGTTAGGGTTTTCAATGGCTGATTCTTTCAGAAAGTAGATCACTAGGCCTTTCTTCCGAGGCACCTCTAGAAGAACTCGAATATTCAACTTTTTAGTTAGTCTCCAAATGTGTTAACCATATGCGCAATCCAAGGACTCCATAGCACTTATTGTTGTGGTTGTTATGTGCCATGGAGTCAGACCTGACTCATAGCGACCCCTCCTTGGGTTTCTGAGGCAGTATCACTATGGACGTAGATTGCCCCATCTTCCTTCTGAGGAGTGGCTGGTGGGTTTGAACCACCAGCCTTCTGGTTAGCAGTCAAGTGCCTTGGCACTATGCTACCAGAGCTCCTTAGCACTTAGACATCTGAAAAAATTTGTCTATTGCTTTATTATTTGTTTATTGCTCTTATCTTCTCTTTAGCTAAGGTCAATGAAAGCAGAGTTTTTTGTCTATTTGTTTACTTCCGTATCCTAAGTGCCTGGAATAACAGCAGGCAAAAGTAGGTATTTAACACATCACTTGTGGAATGCTACCATCTGCAACTTTGGAATATTTTCATAGCCCACAGTGCTGATAACACACGATAATCTCAGTCAAACTGAATTACACTTTCTACCTCAAGAACAGCTCTAACCTCTCTCCCTAAAAAAACCCAGCAATTTATATGATGCTTCTACTATTTTATATAGGCTCTCAAACTTAAGTATCAATTCCCAGATTGCCATTTTTAATAAGTCCATTTGCACATGATACTGTTAGTCATCTAGTTACAAATACTGTGGAATACGCTTAAACTATTTTCTAAGAGTACCAGCTGCTTTGTTCATACATAATTTATCTAACCATGAGCTGTAATGTGAAACCTAGCTCTGCAGAAGAAGATTGGGCAATCTACTTCCCTAAAGATTTACCTCCTCGGAAACCCAATGGGGGTCGCTGTGAGTTGGAATCAACTCGATGGCAGTGAGTTTGGTTTTGGTTTAGTTATACAGAGAAGCACTAAATTTTTCAAAGAGCTTTTCCTTGCATATTGTTGTTAGGTGCCATCAAGTTGATTCTGACACATAGTGTCTCCATGTGACAGAGTATAACTGTCCTATAAGGTTTTTTTGGCTGTAATTTTTATGGGGAAGATTGCCAGGTCTTCCTCCCATAGAGCTGCTGGGTATGCTCAAATCACCAACCTTTCAGTTAGTAGCTGAGACCTTAGTTGCTATGCCATCAAGGCTCCTTTACTTCATTTATCAAAGTAATAATAAGCATTTGGAAAATTACAAATGCTGAATTAATTCAAATTTCTTTCATAATGGAAAGCAACATCACTCAAAGCAGTCAGTTGCTAATTTGAAACTGAACATAAGTTCATATATAAATTAAAGACAGCATATCAAAGGTTGACTGAAAAGGTGGCAAGTCAAGGCCTTGGTTTGCAGATAGATAGTAAGCATAAATGTAACTACCTTAGGCTGCAAAACAAAGAAGTAGCCAATGCCTTTGGCTTGACAGATGAGCTTGCACCTGTCCTTTGGGGAAACGCCGGCATACTTGGGAGTCCACTCCACTGCAGGCCCGCTCCCAAAAGAAGCTTTGGAAAAGTCATTGTGTGCTTCACATTGTTCCTCTCTGAAAGTTTTTCCTGGAAAGAAAATTGATAGGATGACATTATCAGTTCCTAACCTTTAACTGCCTGTTTTTGGGCACATCATTTTTACCCACTTCTCAAAGTTGGGTCAATTTCTACGCACCATTATTGTCTGGACAGTCCTCAATGTTGCAGGACCGATAACGCACTCTCTTGCCTTCACAGTACTTCCCTCCATTCTTTGGGACTGGGTTGTCACATTCCCTCATTGTATACTGGACTCCTCCACCACAGGTCCTTGAACAGTCTCCCCAGGGCCCCCATTGCCCCCAGCTTCCGTGAACAGGAGTCTAAATGTGAACACAAACAACCACCGTTAGAAAAAATAGGGGACACAGAATCAATTACAAAATTAAAAAATGACCTATCTCACATTTCAGTCAGACAGCACTTGCTATCAAATATTTTAGCATCATTTTGGAGCACAGTTCTACTTTGAAACATATAGAGTCATCGTAAGTTGGAATTGACGCTGTGGCATGTTTTTTTTTTTTTTTTTCTGGAAAGGTTGTTCTGTCCAATTCCAACATTTAAAGGAGCATGAATATGTGTCAATAGAAAAACTCACATCAAAATGCTTCCTGTCGGTCTTGTTCACACACTTGCCAGCAACACACCACTTTCCTTCTTCACAGCTGGTCCCATCTGCCCAAGGAAAATGTTTGGTTTGGCACACCAGTAGGCCGCCGGAGGTGCCAGTGCACCATAGTGTCGTGCACGTGCTGGCTGCGTCAGGGCAGTGCTTGGATTCCTCCCCAAAAGTAAACTGGCACTGCCGGTTGGCATCATACAAGGTCCCCGGGAGATCAGAGGGTAGCTGTATGGTACTCTGGGGCTTGTCCATCAAACATTCCCCTGCAAAGAAAATGCCAGCCAGCCATGAATAAATAATTAATGAAAGAATTCAAGGGGTAGATCGTGTTTTCAGAGAAGACTTATCAAGTGAGATGATGTAAATCGAAGTGACTTAAAAACCAGAGCTTTTGAGCACAGTGCTGCAAAAAACAAAAATTTTTAACAATATTTTATCATGAATGGGGTATTTTTATATTAATAATGACAAGAAATTATTGTTCTCCTTAAAATTTGAATTAATCTCCTTTGGGACCTATTCACCCAGAAACACATTTTTTTGGGAAATAAGATGTAAAAAATAACAGTCTTGGCACTGACAATTTTGAAGGTGTTAAAATAAAAAAAATTAAAAAAAGGAATGAAAAGAGGTAATTTAACTAGAATCCTACACTTGGAAGCTGAGATGTCATCTTTAAAGAGCAGCTTGAGTATCTTACCATGACCATTATCCAGAAATGATGTAATCATGTGGGCACTGCAGGGAGACCAAGGCTGGCTGCGGTCCAGGTTAGAGAGCATTGATGCCATCATGTGGGAATCTTGTTTCACACCATTAATGCTGGCACACTGTTTTGCATCATCATGTGGCATGTTAAACACGTGACCTAAGAAGCAATTCAAAACCTATATTAAAATATAGGTTGTTCCCAGCATTTTTTTTTTCTCCAGCAGAGATTACTCTTAAAGTGATATACTAGAGGAAGACATTTATTTTTGGAGACAATGGCTACTATTCACAGGACATAAAGGAACATGTAATTTCCAAATGTCTATAAACAATAAAACAAAATCCAATCCCATTGTCCAGTATCAGTGATTCTGACTCATAGTGACTCTATAGGACAGAATAGAACTGCCCCATAAAGTTTCTAAGGCTATACATCTTTCTGCCACATCTTTCTCTCATGGAGCGGCTGGTGGGTTTGAACTATCAACCTTTTGGGTAACAGTCGAGTGCTTAACCACTGGGCTCCTCCAAATGTCCACAGCTTCTATTTTATTTTCTATTATAATAAGATGAGATTGTTTTAAATTGGGTAGAAAATATTTTTTAAAGTTTCTAAGAAAGCTTGGCGCCTCAAAAAGCCAATGTATTACATTCAGACTCTCCCTCTTAAATTAATATATTTGTGTATTAGTTCAAACGTATCAATTGAGCTTCAGTCTTACTATAAAACAAACTTACCTAATTCATGAGCTGTGGTGAAGGCAGCTTGTAAACCATCATCTTCTATGACAGAGCAACTTCTGCTGGGATCACACATAGTTCCAACATCAGCCATCCCTAGAGTGTCACATGTTTGGGCACCACACAGATCCTAGGAGGAACAAAGGGGCATTCTTATTAATAGGGATACAGCTTGAGCCATGAGGTCTATCATTTGACAGGTGTCTTCACATGTTTTGAAGCATCTATGTTCATTTAGTTGTCCTGTAGGAGGACTTTGTAGAACTGACACAGTACAAAAACACTGGTGACAATTCTATAAAGATTTATTTATTACAAGACAGATTCCCAAGATGATTATAACTTAATGTTACCGTCTTCCTGCTCACCTGCCTGGTGAAAAGAATCGCTGTGTCATAGTGCTCAGGATCCCGGTCACTGGGTGGGTTGTGCTGCTTCTGCCAATTGCAGAAGTTTCGCAGTGTGAGAGCAGCATTAGAGGTCACTTCTGGCCCTTTCTGTTCCTCATAGATGACCAAGATCTTTACCACGACCAAGCTAATTGAATTCCGAATGCTAGGGTGTTTGTACAACCTGGACGCCACAGAGAACAAGGTGAGAAGGTAGTGCTTAAGGCCACTACCATGGAACTCCGCCATTGATTGGTCAGCCACAAGCATGGTTTCCACATAGCGGGGGCTGGATACAAAACGCTTCTTTCTTATGCTTCCATTTCCTGTAAAGAAACAAGGAACATCATTTGCTCATGGGCTATCCAAGAATAGTTACCTTCAGAGAGTATATAAGGAAAGCCTACCCAGTCAATGCAAATAAACAAAACAAAAATATACCTGGAACAACAGGAATAAAAATATTTGCATCTCTTTTCTAAAATTTGGAAATGTTATTTTTTAAGCTTTCTCCTTACTTTAAATAATGAAGCCTGGTGCTCCCTTGAATGGTCAGACTATATTTTCCGGGATCTGTTTTTTGTCCATTTTTTAAATCCTCCAATCTGAACAAGGCAGTATGAACATTATCCTCCCCAGCTGTAGTAAAAACTTGGAGCAAGAGCAGCCGGCAGAGAGGCCTGAGTCACTCTTTCACAGGCCACGACTCAATCCTAATGAGATCATCAGGCTCCACGTGGAAAGCCCTGGGCAGGGCTGGGGCAGTAGCCAAGGGGCAGGGCCTGAAGGAATCTGCTCGGTGCTCTTGTTCCAAGGGTCCCTGGGGGTGTGCTCAAGCCAACTCCAGGCATAAGGACCACCCACTCAGCCTGTCAGCCTATTGCCTCACTCCACTGCCCCGGAGAAATAAGCTACTAATCTAGGAAAGGGCCCTGTGACTCCTGATAGAGACTCAGTCCCCTATTAAGTTCTAAACTGGGCTGTGAGGAAGGGAAAAAAAAAAAAAACAACCTGCGTCAAGAAGCAGACGTGCAGGGGAAAAGGAGAATTCTAACGACCCGTGAGAAACGTAAAAGAAGAAAGACACTAAAGTGATAGAATTTAGATTAGAGGTGGGCAGTAAGCAAAGCCTACAAAGTCAAGGGCAGGTGTACCCAGAACAATCAGCGAAGATCTACCCTCGAAAGCTATGGAGAGCAGAATCACCTCCACCAGAGGGAGAGCAAATTGGGGGGCGGGGGTAGAAGGCGCGGAGAGGCGGGGCAAGCTGGGCGAAGACCTCCCAAGCAGGTTCTATGAAGGGGCCTCGCCTCAGCCAGTGGGTCAGTGTCAGCCTCTTAAGGAAGTGAGGAGGGGGCAGAGGCTGGCAGTATAGTGATCATAAAGGAGCTGACCAGGACTGCGGGCTGCACCTTACCGTGTCACCTAGCTCCCCATCCTTCTCCAAATCCGCCCTTCTCTGGGCGCAGGGTGCAAGCCCAGGCAGCGGTTACAAAACCCACAAAAAGTTACAACTGGACCAAACAGCACAGACACAAGAGTTAAAAACAAATTAATAAGGATGGAAAGACGTCCCTCATTCACACTCGACTAAGGCACTCCATTAAGGTGGAAAGAATAGGGTTACTAAGTTCTCCCTTCCATGTCGAAAGTTTTCACCCTAGTCTGCAGAAAATCATAGATTTGTCTGTCTTTTCATGATCATTCATTATTCAGGCAAACGGAATTACGGTGTTTTTGTTTTGTTTTGTTTTGTTTTGTTTTTAAAGCAGGATTCAGTAAGTCACTCAAGTTTACCAACTTGAAACTCAAGCTACATCCCTGCACTCTAGGTTTCCGTGCTGTCCCCAGACATACCCATCCCAGCGATCAGGAATCTACTCTCAAGTTGCTTAGGATGGAGAACTTGGGGAGAGGGGTAAAAGGAAAGGAAAGTGAGAAAAAGTCTTCTCGGGCTGGTACCTGTTGGCTGTTCGAAGCGCTGTGGCTCTTGGTCTTGCTGCGGCCACTGAGCCCCGGGGTCCTCGCCCTCGGGCCCTGCGCGCCTCGGGGATAGGGTTTCGTCGTCCATGACCCCACACTTGGCGCCGCCGCCGCCCCGCCGCCTCCTTCTCAATAGATGGAACTGTGGCTGCTGCGGCTGCTCCTCCACGGCAGCCGCGGGGGCTAGGCGCACAGTGGCCGCGGCGGGCGCAGGCTGAATGAAGAACTCCTCGCCCTGCAGGTAGAAGGCGCCGCGCACGCCCTCGCAGAGGCTGAGGGCGGCGGCTGAGCCAGGGTCACCGTTCACGGTACCGGAGTAGAAGCAATGTGCCAGGTCGCCGACCGAGTCCGGGTGCACCACCTCGGGCCCTGTTCTACGCCCCACGGTCTGAAAAGTGAAGCCGGGCGCCAGAAAGCCGCGGTCTGGCTGCAGCTCCAAGAGCAGCCGCCGACCAAAGGCATCCAGGCTAAGGCGCGTGGTCTCGTGTCCGGTGGCGCGCTCCAGCGCCGGCAGCACCAACTCTTCGTCCTCTTCAGCTGGGCGCCCGCGCGCGCCCGGCATGGCCAGCAGCGCAGCTGCGGTAGCAAGCAGCAGCAACGCGGGCACGGGCCGCAAGTTCCGGGGCCACTGAGCCAGCTCCGCGTTCCCCATGTCGCCGCCTGGCGCTCGCCTTCGGAACCCCGCGAGGGCTGTTCTCAGTTATTCGAACTCGAGAGATTCCGCGCGCTGCAGCACACAGAGCGAGGGGGCTATTGTTCGGGCAGGGAGCTCAAAGCCTCGCTGGCCTCGCTCTGGATTACTAAAGTTAGCAATTACTATTATTTTTTGAAATTGCGCGCGGACCTGGCTGCAGCCGGAGCTCCTGGAGTCACTTAGGAGGAAGCGCTGCAGCTCCGCCGGCGCGCGGGAAGTTTTTCTTCCAGCGCAGAGTTGGAGGCACAGTGAGGCGGGCGCTGGCGGGGTGGCTGCCGTAGGGACAAGAAGTGTCCCGGGGCAGAGTACCGCGCGAAGATCGGTGCCTGCCGCCCCTCTCCGGCCTCCGCCTTGGCCGCGGTGATGCACACGCTGCGCAGGACTCTGCTCTCTCAGCCCTGCTGCGTGCCCTGGCTTTGCAGTCACCACGGACTCAGAGCCGCTTTCCAGCGAGTGCAAGAAACGGGCAGCCTGAGCAGTCCTTTTATAGTCTGGGAATGAGTTTCTTCCCTTCCCCCCCTTCCTCCTCCCTTTTGGCCGCCTCTCTATCCCCTAAGACACCGCCCCCTGAGCTCAGTCGGTGCTAAACCGCGCTTAGCGCCGCGGGCCGGGCGGGGGAGGCGGAGGCCTAGGCCCTGGCTCTTCTCCAAGGGCTCGTCTATCTGGGGGCGGAAAACGCAGAAGGGGCTCTGCGACTAGCACTTTGTACGCCTGGGGCTCCCACGGGGAGAAGGCTCTGCCTTCCACCACGCCCTTCCCGCCACCGACTCCTGGGACCACCCTCCTTTCCTGCCGTCCCCCTAGTGCCAACGGGTCCTTTGCGCACCGGGCAGCTCTTCCTCGAGGGAGGGTCGGGGTGGAGACCCAAGTACCTTCCCCAAGATTTCCCTGTTCCGAGAGCTGACCCCGCGCCCTCCCCGCCAACACCCTCCTCTCCAGTCTAGGAGAAACGCCAGGGCTGCCTTGTCTAGAAAAGTATTCCACCCCATCTCCATCCCCAGCCCCTGGCCAACAGCGTGCATTCTCCTCGCCCAAGCTTTTCTTGGGGAGAGCTTGGTTGGCCCTGTGCCTCCCCTACAAAGCTTGCCTACTTGGGAGGGCAAAGGACACTTCCAAGGCTCCTAATTTAAACCTACGTTTGCATTTACCCCACCCCCTCCCCTTCACAGTCTTCGTAGGAGACTTCTTTGTAGGGACTCTGGTTCGCATTTCCAGAATAGGTGATCTGGAACGCGGTTCATTTCCCTAGAGCCTAGGGAGGGAGTTACGCTTTCTCTTCATTCGAGAATTATCAACTCCCGCCCAATCTCAGGCTCTTCCTTATAACAGCAACCGCCGTACACAGGCCAAACTGGCAGAAACGTCGAAGTACCCCCATTTTCTTACCCAGGGGCTAGCGGCGATAGTTGGGGATAGAGAGGGTGCAATGGAGGAATTAGGAAGCTGGGTTCTTTCCCCGACCTCATCCCCACCCCACTTCCTACCGGGAAGGGAAATGGCGGCATTTGCGTTACGAAAGCGAAAAAGCTGAGCCTTCCCACCTCCAGGCCCCTAAGAAAAAGCCGAGCAGCTCATCGAAAAAGAGGGAGGAGGGGCTCAATGACACAAGAGGAAGGAAATGTTTCACAATGCTTTCTCAGGCGGAAAGGCACAGGAACAATGGTGAGAACGGCCGCCCAAATCTCGGGACAGACCCGTGCCTCTCACACTCGCGCACTCCCACTTCCTCGCCCCACTAGGTCTCCTGTCCCGCCCCCCACACACACACACGCTCCTCGGTTTTATCTCGGCCCTTCGTCACTCCTGCACGTCTTCCCAACTAAGTCTGTCCCAAACAGAAGCGTCCTTTTTAATCCTTCCACATTTCCATCTTCCAACTTTTTCTTTCAGGATGTTTTTGCAACTTCCTCTTTTCTCCCGGAATATTCTAGATTGTCTGCTTGAAAAACACAAACTTTGCTGTCTACATTTTAGGAACGATCAAATGAAAAAGAATGGCACGGGAAAACAAAAGGACACACTTAGGAATGGCTGCTTTCTTAAATATAATTTTGGTTTCATAAGGTCACTATCGCAGTTTAATACTCAGTGAGTAACCTAGATATTAGATTTATATTAACATCAGCATTTGGCGTAATGTTTCCTTCTGTTGTAAATAAGATCTCCATGAGTTGAAGTGACTCCTCAGCCACTTACGTTGCCAGTTTCTGTCTTGTCTTTAGTTCTTCCACTTTCCCACCATCAGATTAGCATTTTGATATGGTTATCCTTACCCTTTTTTGGCCACCTCTCACCCCATTCTATTTCTCCTTCAAATTAGATATTGACATAACACTAGTGACCCCATTTATCTCACATTGCCTGGCCTAACTCCTTTTGGTCATCTGTGACAGGGGATTTACTCCTCTCTGCCCTATAAATCTCATGTCTGGAACATCTGAACATCCCTATTCTCCATTTTTGTTTCCAGATATTCTTCACATTTCCCTCTTCTGTTACAATATCTCCTTAACTTTTTGTTTTTCATGTTTTCATTTCGTTTCACTGGTTCATTCTTTCTAGTCAGAAGAAAGGCCCTTAAGAGAACATATGATGAAAGTCATTTAATGATTGTAAGATTTTAGCCATGGAATCCTGAAAACACAATGGCAAAAACAGAGGAAATTTTTAAACCTCTTGTTTAGAACAGGACTTGGAAAATAATATGGTAGTGAGCAATTGGGGCTTCAGCCTTGCCTTGAGATAGAAATTTCATGTACTTGCCATGGCCCAGGGTCTGAGAGACTTACATGACAAGTGAGGGTCAATGAGATTCCATTGAAGTGGAACAAGAAGGAAAATTCAAAAGACCATAGAAAGTTTATAATTTTCTAAAAAGTCTTGTAATGCATTCCAATTTGTTGATTGCACTGCAAAAAAAATCATCATTTACAATATATCAATGCAAGTTTTGCCTTTAGTCCCTATCTGCCTCAAGGCCATTGTTACTGGAAGTTTGTTGAATTCAAGGCTTCCTTTTTGGTTTTGAATGAATTACTTTAAATGTATGATTTCTACATATCTTATATTGTATATCCAAATAGAGCTGAAATTAAAAAATGGAAAGAGAGTTAAAAGGAAAAGAATGGCCAGGAACATGGGTTTTTTATTCACTAGGTTTCTCTCCAGATTTCTGTTCTTTTTGCATAATGACTCCAATCTGTTGTGCACCTGTAGTTCTGGGAAATGATTCTTTTTTAATAGCTTCAACAGAGACATGGATGTAGGAGTTGCCAATTACTAAGTTGAAAAACTCCATCATGCTCAGAAATACATTTAATCCACTTTTTAAATTTTTTTAAGACTGGCTCTTTTCAGTCTTTTGTTATTACATGTGTATGTGTGTCTGCAGATAGCAAATATATTTATTTGTAAACAAGATTGTGGGTTAAAAAAATAATATAGAAACAAGACCAAAGAATAACATTTGTACATGACACTAGTAAAAGTAACACCTAATATTGGACCCTTGTAAGTAAACTTCCCACTCCCACTCTTAGAAAATGTTTGCATTTTGATTTAAACATACATCCAAAAGATCAGTCATATGTTGTCCTTAGCCCTACAATATTACTGGCTTTCTTTTTGTAGACTACATACGTGCTTGCATAACAATAAATCTTGATATGTTCTAATATGTAGCCTTAAATCAATTGTTATTAGTTGTAGAAATGACATGACAAAAGGTAAAATGATTAGTATAAATATGTTCTCACAATTAACAGTTTGACCTTTTAAAAGCTTCCTTGTTCTGAATTGAAAGAGGGACTCTGTGAATAAAGAAAATACCTTGTGCTTTTTTAAAATAAAAAGAACAAAGATTAAAATGTCAATTTTTATTTACACCTGACACTCTAGTATTTGTTTCATTTATTCATATATTAGTTACAATACTCTACAATTCTTAAGAGCTTTATACTTGCAGAATAAGATAATCTGATAATATACATGACCTGTTAGCGTTGTTTTAGTGTAAACATTGTCTATAGAAATTACTGAAATACATATTTCATAATGATTTCAATATTATTTGTATTTTCGTACCATAGGATTTACACATTAGAAATTGAAAGCTGTTTAGTATTAGTGTTCTTTTGGGGAACATATGGGCTAAAGTAATATTGAACAAATGGATAGTATAGCTTGATCATAAGTGAGAAAATAGTCAGAAAGCATCTATTTTAAGCAGAATATATACCCAGAAATATAACAAATATTTGAATACCAAAAAATTACAGCATTCTGGATTTAAAATCACTAAAAATCTTGCATTTTCAGAATTGAGAATATTGTCTGTCTAATCCATTCTTCATGCTTGACAGAACTGAGCCTCAAAGGAGTGACTTGCCCAAAATATCATATAACTCACTGCTGTTGAACGGATTCCTACTCATAGTGACTGTATAGGACAGAGCAGAAAAGCCCCATAGGGTTTCCAAGACTGTAAACCTTTATGGAAGCATACTGCCTCATCTTTCTCCCATGAAACAGCTGGTGGGTTAGAACCACCAGCCTTCTGGTTAGCAGGTGAATACTTTAACCACCATAACCCCAGATCCCTTCAAAATGTCGCATGTTGTTGTTGTTATGTGCCATAGAGTCGAACCCGACTCATAGCGACCCCTCCTTGGTTTTCCAAGGCAATATCACGACGGAAGTAGATTGCCCAACCTTCCTTCCGAGGAGTGGCTGGTGGGTTTGAACTTCCAGCCTTCTGGTTAGCAGTCAAGTGCATTAGGCACAATGCTACCAGAGTTTCTAGAATGTCACATAGCCAGAGTTAAATTGGAATACAAACGAACCTGACTCTGAAAGTTTTAATTAAATATAGCTTAGAATTTTAACACATATAATTGTTTGAAAGATAAATTTATTGCCAGATTGGCTGTTAATGTTTCCAAATGTTGTAATTTCATTTCAATACTATATAGGAAATTTCTGGC